CTGCACCAAAGGAGACACGTGGCGCCGGCTCCTCTGCGTGACACTCATGCTGAAATGGTCTGACGTTCCCCGGAACCAGGCTCTGTTCTCTGTTCAGGCTTCTCTTCAAAATTGTCTACAAATTGTTCTTCGTGGTTGTCAGTCCACTGGTTCCTCAAATTTTGAGAAAAATCGGCCCTATTTTCAAAATATACTTTTTTTGGTATTCATATCTGGGCGTCTTAATTCTTATCGACTGATATCTAGTAAAAAAATCTTTATCTACTACGTTCACTATTACTACCTTTTTTCAGGAAGAACGTCAACAAGGAAACTCAGCGGTCATGTATCTTTCCCGATGATGTTTGACATGGCCCCGTTTTGTTGTAGAAATGTGGAGGTTTGAGTTGTCTACAGTGCTTTAGAGTCATAATCATAACTGTTTTGATAATTGCAGCGGCTGGCTCCCGGAGAGAAAAGATTGCTTTACTCGTTGTATGGAGTAGTTGTTCATTCTGGTAGTTTATCTGGTGGTCATTACATTGCTTACGTTAAGAGTCGTCATAGATTGAAACAGGTTAGTGTCATAATGTAGCTTCAGAGTCGTTGATACATCAATAATTCAAAATTTGGATCAGGGCAATTTTGGGTGCTTTTCGGCTTGATGGGAGCTTTCGCTGGCGATGATACCCGTGAAGACCTATAAATTCCTGCAAAGGTTTGCGAAAGCAAGAGCTTTATTCACACTTGGCAAGGGTCTACAGGTCTCACTAGGGTGAGACGCGTATTTAGCAAGAACCAGCAAAAGAAAGTAGCCGAGTTCCGCGTACAATGCATGGCGCGATGCCGAAGTCGAGAAAGTCCCCTTCCATGAGTGAGAGGGCACAGAGAACTAGCATGTGTGGCTGCGGTTAGGCTTGAGGCTGGACGGAAGGCGTCAGGCGTGTTTGTGGCGTGCGTGTCGCTTACCGATAGTGTTCGGCGGATACTAGGAAACACGATACGGGCAAGCTCTATACTCGTTGCCTCGTCTTTTTGAATTTTTGCTTTTCTATTTTGATGATGTACTTATGGGTCTCAGGATGCCCAGCACATACATGTAAAGAACGCATCTCTCAGGTAATCGTACAAGAAGATTCGAGTGCTAATTTCATAGTAGGGGAAGGTTTCTCACGATATGTAAACACGGAGATTGATGATTTCCTCTAGGTCGCCGCTTGTTTTATGCGCCCTGTCGCGTAATGGGTTTGAGTATATGAATTCCTTTGAAAGTTTGAAAAAATATCCTCCAAGATGCCGCAACTGAGGCGTTTTTTAATATTAATTTAGCAATTCACGACGAATTAGTCACACGATTTTACGCTGTTGCCAAATAAAAATCAAGCAGAAAATGAGTTGTGCCCATGCTTTCCTGGAATTTGCCCGAACGACATGTGGCTGATTCGATGTTCTATCAGAATGGGACTACTACAATAGAAAATCTTTGTGAGGAATCTGACATAAATAATGATGGTCAGTGGTACTACTGTAGTGATAGTCAAGTATTAGCTGTTAATGAAAACCGTGTTCTTTCCGCTGAAGCATACATTCTTTTCTATGAGCGGGTGCTATAGGTAATCTAGTCCTAATGATTGTGTTATTAGATATTATCGTGCCCCATCTCCGACCTCCTAAGGTTCGGGTGTCATTCTGAAGTCTTTGAGAGTGTGATAATTGTTAGATGTTTTATTAGAGAACTTATCATAAATATAATAACTTGTGACATAAAAATTACTTGCAATGGTGTTTTGTGATCTGTACATTAACACTACGAGAAATCATATGAAGCGGAACAAACGGAAGAGAGTTGGTGGGTTTTGCTAAGAGTATCCTGGAAAATTTGAGGAGGTGTTGTGAGTCAGGATGTTGGCGCGAGTGATCGAACCTGGAGAATAATATGTTTTTCAAACTGGGGTCTTACGGATTTGTGATAGGCGCTCTCCTACTTGGAGGGGGAAAAAGGTTGGGAGGGAGCATGGGCCCTCTTAGGCATCGTTTAGTGAGGTTAGTCGTGCTTAGGACATCTGAGGTGTGGAGGAGAAGTCGGATTTCGGTATGAAAAAGTTCCCGGAGCCGCGAGCAATTTCTCTCTCTGAGTGCGTTTGGGTTTCTTCAAACTTCCCATTTCATGTTCGGTGTACTCCCTTATTCCCTCCCCGCATGCTCTCAAAAAGAAGAGATCAATGTCGATGCTTTTCAAAAAAACAAACTGGAAATTTTCTTGGAAAACTGGGAAAACTTAGGAAGATAACGGGTAGTATACGGAAGGGGGTTGTATCAAATGAAGAAGGGGGGGGGGATTGACGCACCATTCTACACATGATGCTGCACCCTGTACCGGGAACCAGACGAACGAGATACGTCTTCTTCGTGCATGCTATTTCAGGAGCTATAAATGTAATTGTGAGCCATAACTTACACTCCTTATCCCTGAGCCAGAGTAGGCGTGGCATTTGAACATGGCACGGAACTGGTTACTCGTGGAATATTCTGGGACAACTGTCATCTTGTTCTGTGTTGGACAGAGACACGACAACAGTTGTGTCAAGATGGAAATATTCCACCAGAAGCATAGACACCTTCAGGTTAAGTTGAAGAATGCAGCCCCGCCTACCCGATCTCAGGGATCTTGTATATGGACTGTCTAGGCTGAAGGAGGAACGAGCACCGGGATGGATGAAACCGAAGACTTTGGGGAAAATTGGTTTCGACTTTTCAGGAGAAGTGATCAATGTTAAATTTTCCGAGTGTGATTGAATAAGCAGTTTGTTTCCTTGAAAGCCTTTTGGCAGGTAGCGGCGTACCGCCGTCGGCCGAAGTCGCGCGAGTGAGTCAGTCGAGTAGCGAGGTATGAACGCAGCCATGGCCGAGCATATAGGACTACTATCTCAGTGAATGAAGAAGACGAGCAGGTTCGCGTCATCGCCCATTATCT